GATTCTGATTCCTAGCATAGGCTTTGGCATTGGTGATAAACTGGCTGACGCCATGCATGTATCGCTTGTCCGTTCGGGACAGATGCATCCACTCCCGATCCATCTCTACACAAAAAATATTGAGACAGTAATTACAGAGGAATTAATAAGAAGTCGAGCTTCATGAACAACAATTGTAGCTCGAAAGTGCCATTTATTCTACACTTATTTAATTTAGTCATCCCATTTTTGGAAAATATTATTGTACACTAATAATTGGAAAATTGAAATTGTAGCCCCGGCCATATAAATTAAAAATCGTAGCTTCATAAAAAACAATTATCGCACAATAATGAAGAACAATTATTCTACTCGATGCCACATAAAAATGGAGACACTAATTTTTTTTTAAAAAGACTAAAATTGGAGACATGACCATGAACAACAATGTAGCTCCAAACAATGTGTTGATAGGTGACACATGGATTAATTTGCTCACCAAAATTGTAAAAGTATCTACTCTACTCTTATCAAGAACTAATTATAGCATCACAAACTAACAATGTTCTTGACCACCATGTAATTAGCTAGGATTTTAAATGTGCTCAAAGACATCAACCTTTTGGATGATGGATTCATCACAATTTGCTTGGAAGCCTTGCACAAAGTCCAATTAAAAAAAGTGCTCTCTAGAAGGGAGAAAGAACTAGAATTAAAATCAAGCAATGTAGCCATCAAAACAACGCTAATTAAGCAACAAAATCAAAGAAGTGGATGCTTGTTACTAACCTTAAAGCAAAAAGATCAAGCCATTCTTCCAAATTCAAGAGCTAGCTTCACGGTGAAGAGCAACTGCAACAATGGAGGGAGCGGCCCAAACGCACGTCTCTGTGCTCGGGATGGAAGAGAGCAGGAAGGAGAGAACGATGCCAGCTTTTTGTACTGCTATTTTATCATCGTCAGTTCTTGCCTCGAACCGACAATAATAGCACCAAATCTTTCGGCGGCTCTTGGTTAGAACCGGCGGTGATAAGTGGCCACCAACTCACTTTGTCGGTGCAAGCCATAAACCGCGGCGAGTGATGTGGTCCTTCATTGTTGGTTTTAGCCTGTCCCAATCATTTTCTTATTTTAAGCTCAGAACCGGTAGTGAAGGTACATCAGCGAGCGAATTCACCGCCGGTTCTCACAAATTCGGCAATGATGAGGCCGACAATGATGTCCAATTCTGTAGTAATGATCATAGTGATCGAGCACAAATTTGATCCATGTAATAAACTTTGTTGCTTGTGTATGCTGTTCACACTTTGTTGCCTACTAGTGCTAGTGGTTAATATATTAATGAAATAAAAATATCGAGGTAGAGGAAAAAAAAAAAAGTTTCATGAATAGACCAAACTACGCTTATATCATCTCCTTTCTCGTGTGATGCCATCTTCTCTCATCAATCCCCTAGAATTTAATTTCTACTGAGGAAAACATGTTGATGTGTTGCAACATGATGTGTACAACATGTTACATGGTCACCTAGGCAACTTATCAACCCCATGCATGTAGGGATGGCAATGAGCGGTTTATATTACATAATAAATTTGTGTGTTGATGAAGGAGCAATCCGAGGAGCTCTGACCCGAAACCGCGTACACAATTTCATGAAACACGCAATTTTTATATCACACAGTATATTACATAATAAATTTGTTCTAAGTTGCGTCATGAAATTGTGTACGTGGGGGTTGCAACACACATTTTTTATATCACACAATATATTACATAATAAATTTGTTCTAAGTTGGGCCGTGCAATTGTGTGTTGTTTATTGCCTCAAGTCTATACAAGTGAATATGTAATATATATCATGCATATGTTGCTAAAAATTCCTTATTGTTTTTTTGTATTGCCGGTGGATTTCGGGTTTCGGTTAACCAATCGGGTTTCGGGGATCCACCGGGTTTCGTTTCGGGTTTGGATTATCACCCAAACCGGTGTTCGGGGCGGTTTCAGGTTTCAAGTTTGGGTTTCGGGTTAGGATCCACGAAGGCTCCACCCGATCCGAATCTGCGCCATTGCCATCCCTAACATACACTCAACCATATCCTCATGAGTACTCCCTCTGTCCCGTTTTACTTGTCGTCCTGGCACTGCTTTAAAGTGTCTGTATTCATTGTCTCATTCATGCACATGGACACACGTAGAGTCTAGGTCCAAGACATCTTCGCTGCATCAGGTTCAAGGCTACAACGACCATTAAAATGGGACAGAGGGAGTACCTCCAAAAAACTAAGTCGACAAATCATAAGATTAACTAAGTCAGCATAGGTGCCTCGATGTCAACGCGTATATCACTTACCACTGAAGAATAGCTAGCGTTCTTAAATCCTAAAAAAAATCTATGAAAATACAATCACCACCACTAAAGATTGATTTATAGAGATGCCAGTATTTTTTTTTATCAAAGGTGGCTCAATCAGGAACCACCTATAAAATGGATTTAAAAAATGAGCCGCCTCTGGAAACTATTTTTAGAGGCGGTTGGTATTTTTAACCACCTCTAAAAATGCTCTATTTTTTGAGGTAGCTCTAGATTCGGTCTCCTCTAAAAATATATTTCTAGAGGCGCCTATATCTAGAGTTGTTTCTATAAATAGATTCCCAGAGATGGATGGATCTAGAACCATCTTTTAAAATAGTTGTAACACAGTAAAAATTCATAACTTAAAGTTAGATGACGACAAACTTTATACCAAAGTTATATATCTCGAAGAGATCTATAACTTTATAATTGACAATATTTTTATTTGAAATCATTTCAATCCCATAAGTTCTATTTCAAGCTCTCATATTTTGGAATCCAATTTTTTTGAGTTTTCCAAACGATCTTAGATGGAAAAACGACCAAAATCAAAGTTTTAGATTTCAAAAAGACATAAAACATTGTAGTTGTGAACTTTTTTATTTGAAATAATCTACGACCTAAAATTTAGTTTGAATTTCTCGCATAATGAAATTCAAAATTTTTAAACAGTCTCGGATGGAGAAACGACCACCAAAGTCGTAGATCTCATTGAGGTATAAAACTTTGTAGATGACAACTTTTTCATTTAAAATCATTTGTACAAGAAAAGTTATGTTTGAATTTCTCACATTTAAAATTCAAAATTTCCAAATGCCCTCGGATAGAGAAATGACCAAAATCAAAGTTGTAAACCTCTTAGAGCTATACAACTTTGTAGTTGACAACTTTTTCATTTGAATTCATTTGGAGTCACAAATACTCATTTTAAAATTGGATAATGTGAATACGAGAGGAATGTTGTGCCCTTTAGTCACGAATGACTTTGAGGTGGAGTTGTTAGCGTTAATATGCATGAAGCCTGAGATTGCAGGTTCGAACCCCCATTGTTGCTCACGTGTGGTCGTTGTTACCGTCCATGAGTTGTATCCTGTGCTCGCATATATACTCCTATCTAAAAGAAACCATTAAAATATGTATGAAAAAATGAACTAAAAATACGTATGGATACATGATGCAAGATGCATGCTCATGAAAAATTTGGTGATCCAACAATGTTTTACTCAAGGAGAAGCAAAAAAGAGAAATCAGCCTACAATACAAGCGGGTTGCAGTGTGCCAGTGTCCAGATGAACTGTTCACTCAGACCCAATTGCAGGCTGATTTTCTCTTTTCTTTTGTTTCTTCCAGATGAACAGTTCGTTTTGTTGAATCTCAAATTTTGTATGGACATGCATCTCTTTGCCTCATGCATCCATACATATTTTTAATCTAAAATTGTTTAGAGTATTATAAATATTCTTGTTCACAAAAAAGGAGTCTTAAATATTCATTTTAAATTCTTTGATTTTAAAATTTATTTAAAAAAAATTCAAATAACCTTGGATTGAAACATGCCCCCATACTAAAGTTGAGGGCTCGACGAGAACTTACACTTTAAAGTTTTTTAGATCATTTAGAGGCCTAAATATTTAATGAAAACTGTTAAAGTTAATAAAAAATAGCATTCTATATTTGGTAACAAGTATTTGTGTGGTATATTTTTAAGGAGGAGTGATGCGGCTTTTGTTCAGTTAAAAGTTTGAATATAATACCAGAAAATCTACACACACGAAGTTAATGCGAAAAATTGATCACAGTGCTGAGTTGGTAAACAAAAGTCTATGTTTACGGTCATTTTTTCTGTTTTCTAAAAATCATTAACAACGGAGACTGTTCTTGGGCTACCTCGTGTTCCTCGTGTCTACGGGTTGTCTCTTTCCCCAACTCGTTTGCTTCTTCTAAAATCATTAACAACTTAACTCGTGTGCCTCGTGTCTCTAGCTAGATTACACAAATTTATACGATCTTATTATTAGAGACTGTTCTTGGGCCAAGCACCTAGCTCGCAGACTGTTCTTGGGCCACCTCGTGTTCTTCGTGCCTAGGGGTTGTCTCTTTCCCCAACTCTGTGCTGAGTTAGTGTTCTGTAGTAATGAGATTTTTATTTATAATGACTTCATCTTTACCTATTTATTATGTATATATGTATTTTTCTAATTATGGTATATTCATATTATCGAATCATGTGAGATATATGTGATATATTATTAATAATGTTAAATATAAAACATTTGACAGTAACATCTATTTAAATGTAATAATAATATATATAAAAAATGAAAAAAAATGAAGGTCACTGTCGGCTAGACCCGGCAGCAAAGACATGCGTCAAACAAACTCACCTGTATAGTCTATGCACACGAAGACACTGCGGATGACCCGACCCGGGCTTCCTCTTCATCAAGTCAAGGCGACGGTGACTGACGTTAGTTGAGCGATGGTGCACAAGGCGACGATTGCAACACGGAAGTGAGCGCGACCAGAGACGAGGTTACCTATGTACTTGAGTGCAAGTAAGAAAAATATACTCTGGAGAGATTCACAGCAGCAGTAATTTCTCTCTCTATATATACATAGCCAGCAGTTCTCCTTGAAACCACAAGAGTGGAAGGCTGGAAGCAGCATCATGAGGACCTGCAACTACATTTCTGCTGCTGTGGCATCGCCGCCGCCGCTCATCAGGCAATGGCCAGGCCGCATTTCATGGCGGCGGCCCAGCAGGTTGCAATGTTCCGCCACAAGAACACGCCATGAAGATGGCCCTGACAACAAAGGTGACAACCGCCTGAAGCAGAACACTGGCATTTTCCACCCATCCATATGGGGAGATACCTTCCTCGGCTACTCCAACCCAGCAGCTTCATCGCAACAACAGGTCTCTGGCTATTTACAGATATAGTACTTTCTTTTCTCATCGGATACCTGTAATTATATTTGTGATATATTCTTAGGTTTTTCTTCTAATTGAATAATGAAAATTATATTTGAATTGTACTATTTTCGGCAGATGACAGAACGAGAGGATAAACTCAAGGAAGAAGTGGCCGAAATGATAGCGAGTTCATCTACTACGACTGCTGCTAGTAGGCTGCAACTCATCGATGCATTGGAGCGTCTATGCTTGGATCATCTGTTCGAAGAAGAGATCAGTGCGGCACTAGCACAGATTGAGACTGCTGATGTCAGCGGCTATGATCCTGGGACTGTGCACTGTGGTTTTGTCTACTTCGGAAACATCGATACACGGTCTCGCCAGGTAGCGACACACGAACATACACCGCAACTAATCACTGCATTACCAAGTCTTTAGAATAAAGCATATATATATTGTGCTCCGTTCATTCCAAATTAGTATTATAAGATATTTTAGCTTTTCTAGACACGTAACTTTTGCTATACGTCATGTCTTATAATTTGGAAAGCATATATCTAGAAAAGACAAAACATCTTATAATTTGAAATGGAGGTAGTACTTTCTTCAACTTATCGAAATTCAAGCTGAAAAAATCTGCACCATATTTCAGATGTGTTTGTGAGGTTCAAAGACGAAGGAGGAGGTTTTCTAGTGGATGGTCCTAAAGACCTACTGAACCTTTACAATGCTTAGCATATGAGGACCCATGGAGAGGTAATACTTGAGGAAGCTGTACTATTCAGCCAAACGCGTTTAGAAAGAATGATACCTTACATGGAAGAGTCATCATTGGCACGTGAAGTAAAATCTTCACTTGAGATCCCTCTTCCTAGAAGAGTTAGAATTTACGAGTCAAAGTATTACATCTCTGCCAATGAGAAAGATGCCACGTTGCATGAGACGGTGTTGCAACTTGCAAAGTTGAACTCAAATATTATGCAGCTCCATCACCGACAAGAGCTGGATATCATTACAAGGTCAAGTAACTCTTTTCATTACGAATTTATCATCTAATTATATTTCATATTGCAAACTAATTCCATTATATTACTGATAATAGTACCTCTAATAAATTTATAGGTGGTGGAAGGATATAGATATTGAATCGAGGCTTCCATTTGCTCGAGATAGAATCGTGGAGTGCTATTTGTGGATATTAGGGGTATACTACGAACCATGTTATTCACGAGCCCGAATAATATTGACAATGAATATAGCAATTGCGACCATTGTGGATGATATTTTTGATTCTTATGCAACTCCCGAAGAATGTGAATTATTTACCAAGTGCATGGAAAGGTTTGTATTGCTTCCCTACTTAAAAGTATCTTTATCTTAGGTTCACAGAAATTGTGTCTATCTTTACAGTAGAAAATATACATGGAAGAATAAAGAAAAATCTATGCTACTTTTTCTAGCTATAATTTATATGTATGTGTTTGATTAGAAAAAGGGGTCAAAGTTCTTTATATATGATGTTAGAAAAATAGAGTATATATTATTTCCTTGATGCGACCATACTATAAATAATAGTAATGTGTTATTTTTTCAGTTAATCTTCGGCTTAGTTCACACATAAAATTGAGAAGTTGAACCAAATATTTGGGCCCTGTCAACTATCTAAAACTAAAAAAAAATGCAAACTACAAATTTATAGATCGTGTCAAGAGCTACAGCGTTGGTATAGACCGCATGTCAGCATCCGAGGTGGTTAAAAGTTTTGAATTTCAAAATTTGATAATTTAAAATGGATATATAGTGCCATAAAATATCTCAAATAAAAACTTGCCAACTAAAGACCCCCCGAGAGCTAAAACTTTGATACAGACTATGTAAATATCAAGGATTGTTTGGAAAAAAAATCATAATTTGAATTAAAATATGAGTTTTAAAATATAGAAGTTATGAGCTACAAAATTAAAGATCACGTTGAACCTACAATTTTGATACTCCCTCCGCCCTAAATTAAGTGTCACTATGGCATTCACTACTAGAGGCCGCGGCTTTGCCGAGTGTTTTTACACTCGGCAAAGAGCCCTTTGCACTCGGCAAAGGTTTTGCCAAGTGTAGCACTCGGCAAAGTCCGCTCGGTAAAATTTTTCTCGGCAAAGGGTCTTTGCCGAGTGCTTTTTATCGGAGCACTCGGCAAAATAAATTTTTTTTTGCCGAGTGCTTGGGGCGGCACCCGGCAAAATATTTTTGACCGTTGCGGCGCCGGCAGTTAACGGTTATTTTGCCGAGTGCCCGACCCAGCACTCGGCAATTTTTTTTATTTTTTTTAAAAATTACTTTGCCGAGTGCCCCAGCCCAGGCACTCGGCAAAGTTTTTTTTTATTTTTTTTAAAGTACTTTGCCGAGTGCCCCTGCCCAGGCACTCGGCAGAGTTTTTTTTAAAAAAAAATTACTTTGCCGAGTGCCCCTGCCCAGGCACTCGGCAAAGTTTTTTTTTTATTTTTTTTAAATAATTTCTTTGCCGAGTGCCCCTGTTTAGGCACTCGGCAAAGAATTTCTGAATTTTTTAAAAAAAAATACTTTGCCGAGTGCCGCGGCAAGGCACTCGACAAAGACCCCGAGAATTGCAAAAATTTTTTTACATTCCATTGTAACAGACAATATATATATATATATATATATATATATATATATATATATATATATATATATATATATATATACAATCATCACATCTATATCACCAACATGCATTATATATCACAAGCACACGCATATTTAATAAATCTATAGAAAATCCATCAAAAATACACCAAAGTTCAACATCACAAGTTTATTATTATAAGTTCAACATCACAAAGTTCAACATCCCTACTGCGGCGACGGAGACTGCAGGTGTGGCCCCCTGAACTACGGTGAAGGACCGGACTACGGCGAAGGGTTGACGCGATCAGCCACTGGTGACACGGTAGCAGGATTGTTTGAACCCGCTGATGGAGGCTGCACAAAAGAGAAGAGATTGCATGTGTTAGACTCAAAATTGAAAATTTTGGCAGCACCTCCCCTGCACGGGGAGGTTTCCAACCTGCAAGAAACAACGGCACGAAGGCCGACAATCCCAACAACACGAAGGCCAAAAATCAACGCAACCACAAGGCCGACAATCCCAGCAACGCATTTAACGCATTAAACTTTCATACTCACGGGGGGTGAAGTGTCGAACCGAGCTAGAGTGGCAAGCGCACTTGGACACCCGATGCTTGCCCGATGGTTTGCATGATCTAATACATGTCCGCCATCTGCTTCTTTGTGGCCTCCAGCTCTGCGGTCAGGTGCGCTTGCGTCTCCCTTGTCTCTGCCAGCTTGGCCTGCAGTGTTTCAAACACATGTTTGATATTACCAAATCTGATCAATGTGTGTAACGTTCAATGTCTGACGAGTGAAACCGGAATTACGAAGTTAAATCGACCCATAATAGTGTTGGAGTAGGCCATGCACGTATGGGAAGGCTTACGGCGTGCTCGTGCCCTCACGCCGGAGAGAGAGGGTGCAGAGCTCAAGGAAATCGGTGCCATCTACAATCCACAACCGCCTGTGCTTCCTGCCTTGCCCTAGCCTCACGATCACCTCTGTCTCAAGGGGCTCAGTGCTCAGATTGTGATCTGAGCCACGGAGCGCCCTAACCGCCTCCGTGTAGTCTCTGACCTTAGCGTGGACACTCGGGTCAGAGTAAGCCTAGGCAGTGGCATCCGGGTTGAAGACGACACCGGATTTCACCGGGGCCATGTGGGACACAGCCCATGCCCCAAACTCCGACACTGGCACGTCCGGGTGTGCCACCTCCTGCGAGAAAGACGGCAAGATGATTAGAAATCAGGCAAAATTGAGCATTAGAATAGATAAATGACATCTCGTACAAGTGCCCACTTGAATGCGGGGAGGTTGCGGCTGCCTTGGTGGTGAGTTGGACCGGTCCTTAGTGCCCGCTTCCACTTGCCTTGCTCGTGCTTTGCGATGTACGCCGGGTCAAGGTACCTGTCCACGATCCTCGACCATGCCAATCCATGCGACATGCACCATGAGGCCGGCACCTACACATCATCAAGTGTTTGACATATAAGAAGATCAATTTTGGACCTACTAAATCTCAAAACAAATCAATATTATTCACCTACCTGAAGGTACTGCTCCTTGGTCAGCGCCACCTTTCTTGCGCCGGTTTTGTTGAGGGGCTCTTTCTTGATGGACCTGTAGTAGTCGACGTGGGCCTAGAGTCACGCCTCGTGAATCATGTCGCCGACATACTTCTTACAGGCTCTGTGTGCCGTCTGATCCGCCAGGGTCTCTCGACCTTCTTCGGCCTTGAAGTACCTCTGCATACAAACACGATGTATCCGTTCATTATTTCAATAAAAGACTTAAGCAATGGAGGAGATGTATTGAGCTATGTTGTGAGACACTTACCTAAAAGTCTGCCAAAACCTGCTCCTGCTTGTTGTCCTGCTCGTCATCCGAGCTGAGCTTGTACCTATCCCACGACCAGGCCGGCTCCCACCTCCCCTCTTTCAAGTCCACAAGGCCGGGGAAGTGTTTCCTGCACAGACATCCTAGGACGGTAGCGGGGGTGCGTGGGGGGTCAAGAGCACCCGACAGAACTAGCCAACCCCTGCATAAGTGATTAAGAAAAATTATCAGTTTCTCTTTTGATTTTCAACGTATCATATGAAGTACTAGTGATAACATCTATAGTTACTTACCTTCTTCCCACATGATGAACCAGTGGGTGTCGGTCAGGAAGCGGAACCGGAGGAAGGCTTGTGGGACCTCGCAGGTAGGGAGCCGACTGAGCAGAACTATCCTCCATCTGCTGAGTCCCCTCGTCCCCCGACAGAGTGTCTGTGGTCATGCCCGTGGCCGCCACGTGGTCCTCCGGGGTAGGAGATGGGTCCTCCGGCTGGTCGAGAGCCGGGGGAGGAGGCGGGTCCCTCCTGGGGCGACCCCGGCCCCTCCCCCTCCCCCTCCTCGTGCTGGGGTGACCCGGGCCTGCTCTCGCCACTGGGGGTGAAGATGTCCCCTCGCCTCCATCAGGGGGGCGTAGCCTCTGGTACACCGAGAGCGCCTGCCTCAGTGAACGGTTGCCCACCATCTTTGTTCTGTCACATGCAATGTACAAAGAATGAACAACAAGCGTTAGTACATACATATCAAATAGTTCAAAATGAAGACAATCGGGGTCACCGAGGTCCCTCCACCGGGGCCTCCTCCTGCATAAAAAGGCAATACATTAGTGACAATTGAAAATTTCGGCAGAACCTCCCCTACACGGGGAGGTTTCAAAAACCTACAAAAAAGATCGGCACGAAGGCCAACATCCACAAACAATGGCTCGATGGCCGAAAACCACATACAACTATTACTACTAACAAGGGCTCGATGGCCGACATCCATTACACGATTTGAATAGAAAGGGAAGGGCGAACCTAGTGTGCTCGTCGACGGTGGGCGGAGTCGGGAGCGGGGCGCCGAGGGCACGGCACCATCGCTAACGATGCATGGACAGCGGCCGGGGCTCCTCCTCCCTTCTCCTCTCCACCTCCCTTCTCCTTCTTCCTTCTCCCTTCTCCTCTCCTCCCTCCCTTCTTCCTTCTTCCTTCTTCCTCCTCCCTTCTTCCTCCTCTTCTCTTCCTCCTCTTCTCTTCCTCCTCTTCTCCCCTTCCCTTCTCTCCCTCCTCCCCGGCTCCTCCTACCACCCCTGCTCCTAAGGGCGACGTGGCCAGGTAAGGGACGGTCGGGACACGGCCGTCGCTGCCAGAAATGGCCGGCCGGCACCAGCCAGCCACCTCTGGGCGGCTGAGGCGAGGGGGCCGGGCCGCGGGGAGCTGTCGGGGTAGGGCGCAGCCGGTGGCTGGGGGCGGGGCGCGGCAGACGATGGGGGTGGTGAAAGCTCTAGTTTGGTTTTGGTGAATTGATGAAACCTTAAGTGCTAACCTAGTTTATCAAGTGATCATGAGATAGGTAGCACACTCCAAGTTGTGAAGCAAACAAAGATCATAGCATGATGAAGATGATGCCATGGTAATGATCAAGTGCTCGGACTTGGAAAGAAGAAAGAGAAAAACAAAAAGCTCAAGGCAAAGGTATAAACCATAGGAGCTATTTTGTTTTGGTGATCAAGACACTTAGAGAGTGTGATCACATTTAGGGTTGATAGCCGTACTATTAAGAGGGGTGAAACTCGTATTGGAATGAGGTTATCAAAGTGCCACTAGATGCTCTAATTCATTGCATATGCATTTAGGATCTACTAGAGTGCTAACACCCTTGAAAATATTTGTGAAAATATGCTA